AGGCAGAGAAAGACAGAGTGTGAGCCAGGGAGGAGCAGAGGACAGAAGACACAGAATCTGAAGCAGGCTCCAGGCTCTGAGCTGTCAGCACAGAGCCCCACGCAGGGCTCAAACCCACGAACCGTGAGATCATGACCTGAGCCGAAGTCGGATGCTCAACCGACTGAGCCACCCAGGCACCCTTCTCTCTAAAATTAAAAAAAAAAATAAAAATGAGGCAATTACTAGATGACCTCTGAGTTAGTTCAGGTGCTCCAATAAGCAGATGCCAAGAGGGGTTGAGAAGGGCTGGGAGAGCCCTTAGACTCGGACGCTCGTTCAATTCTGGATCAAGGAGAGAGAGAAGGACACTTACGGGGAAGCACCTCAGACTAAAGAAAGTTCGGCAAGGCCATCGGGGAGTCCTCGAGCCAAAGACGGCTGTCAGAGGAGTCCAGTGTCTCCCAGGGACAGATCTGCCCCAGCATCTGTGCTGTTCTCTGGGAGCAGCCCGTGAGAAATGTGGCCTTGGAGGAAACACAGAGATGGATTTCAGAGCAAGCAGCTATGGCCTCCTGTGGCTGGAGGTCTGTGAGGTGCATTCTTTTGGTCATAATAAAGCACCCTGTGTGTTCTGCTGTGCAGTGTTCTGAGAACCCTAGAGATATACCAGCAGACCCAGACCCATGTTATGCTGAGGGAGTCTGGCTGGGCATTGTGGATAGCAGCTGCTCTCGGGCACTCCCTGATGGCAAAGTTGGCAGGATGTTTGTGTTCATATGACACATTGGGATCAAATGCTTCCTGTCTCTCCTATTTTCGGCCTTGCTTTGGTCTTCAGAGAAGGGAAGTGGGGGCTCCAGTTTCCCTGCTGTCATCTTTGTTTGAAGTAAAGCCAAACAAAGGAGGCTCTACCCTGATTACGTCTGTCCTGCCTTTCCTGGATCCCCCCAAGCTTGGGCCCTCCATGCATATGTCCACACATCCATACATGGGAAGCTGTATGCCTTTGAGTTCTGGGTGGGTCTAGGCTCAGAAAAACCTAGATTTTAGTTTCTGTTCCACCTCATCCTGGCTGCATAACCCTAGGCAAATGACCACCTTGGTGAGCCCTAACATTCTCATCTATAAAAGGAGGGAAACCATACCTACCTCTTAGGTATGGTTAAATAAAGCAGTGGGGTGCCTGAGTGGCTCAGTTAGTTGGGTAAACGTCTGACTCTTGATTGCAGCTCAGGTCATGATCTCACAGTTTGTGAGTTCAAGCCCCACATGGGACTCCATGCCGGCAGTGCAGAACCTACTTGGGATTCTCTCTCTCCCTCTCTCTCTGCCCCTCTCCTGATCTCTCTTTCTCTCTCTCTCTCTCTCTCTCAAAATAAATAAATAAAAACCTTAAGAAAAGAATTAAATAAGGCAAGGCACATGAAGTCTTTAGCACAGTGTGGCACATAGTACTTGCTCGGTAAATGACACTTACTAGTGGCGTCACTTACTAAACACCTAATGTCAGTATCATTATTATGGCCCTAAATATTATCCTCTGGTGAGAGACACGAAGGTCTCAGAAATACGTCCTTTCCCCAAGAAGCATTCAGATAAGGGCAAGGACTCGTTTGAAAGCAACACGGAGATGAACTGCTAGGCTGTGGGGCTGGCTTGGGGAGTTTGTTACAATCAGGGCTGTCTCTTTCATTTCATGACTTTTACAGGACTTCCCTCTCATGTCTGTGCATCTGGTTTCCTGAGTTTACGGACAAGGTCTTAGGCCCAACACACCATAATGTGGAGAGATGGATCTCCTGGCCTGTGGAGTATACACACCAGTCACTGAAAGAACCGGAAAGAAGAGTGCTGGTTGGGGGTGATGACGGACAAAGCAGGAGGAAGAGGTGGGCTGGCAAGGCCAGGTGATGAAGGGCCTTGTAAACTGTATTAAGGAATTGGACTTGATCCTGAGGGCGATGGCGGTGCCCTTGATGGGTTTCAAGTAGAAGAGCCATGTAATCAGATTTGTCTGATGGCTTGAGAACGATTTACCCAGGTTAGCCCCCCTTCCCTGGGGAAAAACCTATGCCCTGGAGAGGAAAATATGAAGAGAAAGGATTGGAATTGCACACGCCCCTTAAAAGCACTGCCCGCTCAAACTTTCCCTGACCTGTCCTCCATCTGAACAAAGGCCCCGCGGCCAGCTGGAGAGGAACCGTGTTGATTACTCACAATTCCCTTCCCGAGAGGACAGGCGCTGATGTGTTTTCTCTTGATAACACTGGCTCCTTTCGAGCAATAGGAATTCCTGTCTGATGGGAGAGCAATTACTGTACCTCCAAAGAGAAAACGCTTTAAACAAATCCAGTTTTAGCCCTCCATGATAACGGAGATGTTTGCTCACTGATCCACCATTAGCCCTGAGTTTAAGGAAGAGTGGGCACTTAGGACTCCCAGAGACCAGAATAATGTCTCTAGATCCGTTTGGTAAAAGATTCCAGTAGCCAAAGGAACGGGGAATCTTTCCCCCAGGGAATCTGCTCCCCAACACCAGCCTGGGCCTGGAGCTCCTGGCTTTCCTGCTCCCCATGCCCCAGAAGGGCCCGGGGGCCTAGGAAGAACACTGCTAAGATTTGGCCAACTCAGGGCAAGTCCAAGCTGATCCGGTCAAATGAGGTGCCCCTTGGTCTGTTTCCATTAGCAGATCATGAGGAAATCTGCATGAAGACAAACTGTTACCCAACAGACATCAGTAAAAACTGCCTTGTTTCATATCTTAGGAGAATATGAAAACCAAAGACTCCACCCCTCGATGAACGCTCCTACCAGAGACCATTCGTTGTTCTGCCAGTCTTTCCAGAATCGGCTGGAATATCCCTCACCCCTTGCTTGCTATTCCTATAACATGAGTTAACACTCACATAGCACTAGGCAGTGCACCAGACCCTGCCCTAAGTGCCTTACGCACACTCGTGTTCAGTTGGTGTAGGTCTCCCAAGGACCTTATGAAACAGCTACTATTATTATTCCCATTTTTTAAATGACATAACGGGCAAATCCCAGAACCCGTGGATATATTATGGTATAGCCAGGGTGGGGATTAAGTTTACAGATGAAATTAAGGTTGCTAATCAACCAACCTTGAGATTGGGGAGAGTATGCTGGATGATCCAGCTGGGCCCAATGTGATCACAAGTGAGAGCCCGGGTCAAGTTTGAAGAGGCAAACTGCTGGCCTTGAAGGTGGAGGAGAGGCCCAGGAGCCAAGGGATTCAGGGGGGCCTCTGGGTCCTCTCCCAGAGCCTCCAGAAGGATTGCAGCCCTCTAACATGTTGGTTTTAGACCCTTGAGACCCATTTCAGGCTTCGGAGCTCCAGAACGGGAAGATAATAAATTGGTAGTGTTTTAAGCCATTAAGTTTGTGGTCATTTGTTACAGCAGAGCCACAGGAAATGAACACACTAGTACTGAGTATATAGTCGTAAACACAATAAACATGGTCTCTGCCCTTTAGAGCTTACTGGATATTGCCAGTGTTTGCGGACTCCCGGGTTTGGTCAGCAGTTCCTAAAGCACATTAGGCGGTGGGAGCTCTGCCTCTGCTGGAGCCCGGGGCCTGCGGGCGTGCTCAGCGCTCTCCTTGTCCTATTTAACTTACCTCCTTTGGCTTTAATAGAAAATATTAAGTATTTTCTAGTGTTTGGGACTATAGTAAGTGTTTTGCATATATACCTAATTTCATCCTGACCGCAGCACTCTGAGAGGTATTTTTATCCCCCTTTACCAGACGAAGAAACTGAGGCTCTGAGAGGAAAAGTGACTTTCCTAAGAGCACGCAACGAGTAAGCGGCGGGTGTGAATGTAAGACACCTGACTCTAAACCCATCTCTGCTGTCGGCCCCCCAGCTTTTTTTGTTCCATCCTTGAGGCCGGCTGCCCTCCACCTCCCCCACCCTCGTTCACATCTGAAGGCAGTTGCCGGGCCCACTCACAGGTTCCAGTAAGAGGGCGGAGTCCCCCGTTGAGGCGAACGCCGTTCCTACCCATGAGCACAAAAGGGTGTTTTTCAGACAGAGGCCTGGTGGAGGCTGAGATAACAGTGATTCAGGACAGCTCACGAGGGGCTGTTGCGGATAAAAAAAACCCTTGGCAGAGTGAGTGGACTAGAGCCGCACCGTGTGGCATCGGAGACCGCGTGCCAAGTGCAGGGTGAGCGAGGGGTTCTGTTTCTCGGGGAGCTCTGGGCCCAGAAACGGCCCCTGAGGAAGCTGACACTCAGGTCTACCCCACTCCAGGCCTCCACGCCTCCACGCCTAGCCGGCCTCGTCCCTCCCCGGCCTTGGCCTCTGAGGTGGCCGTGTTTCCACCACGTGAGGGCAACTTGAGCTGGCCCGCGGCAGACTGTTGCTTGGGAGGGGGAGGGTGTGTGTCATTATTGACGGCAACAACAGCACAAAAATAAGTATAGCGGCTACAATTTATTAAGTGCTTAAAAACACTAGAGTAATCTCCTGTAACCCTCCTGACAATCACTTGGGGTAGAGTCTCTTATTATCACCGCTTTACAAATAGGGAAACTGAGGCTCGAGAAGGGGACTTCCCAAGGTCACACAGCCAGTAAACGTAGAGCCTGCTCTCCCTTGTTCCAAAGCACGGGCCATCACAGAAGTCAGGGACCCGCTTCCAACTGGGATCACTCATGAGGCTGCCGGTCTCATTACCTACAAAGGAAACAGGGGAGGGGTGGTCTCTGGGTGCTCCCGTTTCTCAGGTGATCCTGGCTCTGATGAGGCTCTCTGCTGTGGAGGGGGCACCGCTCTGGCCAGCAAAGGGTGTGCGTCTGTGGGGCGAGCTGCACTATCGCACTGCCGAGTGGGGAGGAAGTGACTCAATCATCAAAGGCCTGGTCTTCCTCGGGGAACTGTCCCTAATCACAATTATCCCGCTACAATAATACCATTTCAGAGAGACTGTGAGCCGGGGCACTGTGTAGCCATGTAAACTGCTTCCTGTATCTGCCAAACCCAACAGCGTCGGGCAATTAATAGAATCCAGCTAGGCCTCCCGCTCTGATAAGGCCAGAGCAGTTGCTGCCGCCGGCCGTGTTGTTCTAATGACGAATAGCCCTCGTGCTGCAAAGTCATTCTCTCTCCTCCCTGGCAGCGTGGGGCCACAGAGGCCTGGGGCCCCCGCGAGGCCGAGGAGAGCCACGCACATGCTATTGGATTTGGCATTTCATGGAGATAAAAAATGATTTTCATTCTCCTGCGAAACAAAAGTCATGACTGTTCAGGCCACCCCAGGACCCTGGTGGGGGACTGATGGTTCAGGATTGAGCGGGACCCCTGCTGGCTAGAGCAAGGACCCACAGACAAGAAAGCACTTCATGAGGTGGCTCAAGAGAAGAAGGAATTAGAAAAAGTTTATACAGCGTAACCTCTAGATCATACCAGGGCTCTAGGATTTTAAGAGCCTCGGGTCTTTATAATAATCTGCTTCGCAGGGCATAGAGAAGGGCTTTAGAAAATGACCGAGCCCCACACAAATTCTTCATAGTTCTTGGGATACAGTTGGGAGGCAACACTTCATAGTTCCAGGGCCTCCCTGAATCTCGGGGTGAAAGTGCTTTGACAGACAATGGTGACCCACGCTCCAGGCCTGACTTTGCTGCCCAGACCTCCAGGTCCTACAGGGCGGAAGCATGTTAAAACACCAAAATGTAAACTGGTGCAGCCACTGTGGAAAACAGTATCGGAGTTCAAAAATCCAAAAATGCAATTCCACTCTGGGTATTTATCCAAAGGAAACAAAAACAGGAAGTTGAAGATATATACGCACCCCCGTGTTCATTGCAGCGTTATTTACAATAGCCAAGATATGAAGGCAACCTAAGTGCCCGTCGATGCATGGGTGGATACAGGAGATGTGATATGTGTGATATTTATACAGATATCATTTAAATAGATATACATATCTATATAAAATGGAATACTATTCAGCCATAAGAAAGAAGGAAATCTCGCCGTTTGTGACAACATGGGTGGACTTTGAACGCATTATGCTAAATAAAATAAGTCAGAAAGACAAATACTGTATGATCTCATATGTGTAATCTAAACTCAAACAAACAAACAAAACTCATAGATACAGAAAACACATTGGTGATTTCCAGAGGCAGGGTGTGGGGGGCAAGCTAAAAGGGTGAACGTGGTCAAAAGGTACAAACTTTCAGTTATAAAATAAACAAGTCTTGGAGCTGTAAAATGTATAGCCTGGCGACTATAGCTAATGATACCGTATTGTATATTTAAAAACTGCTAAGAGTAGATCTTAAAAGTTCTCATCACAAGAAAAAAATTTGTGGGACACCTGGCTGGTTCAGTTGGTAGAACATGCAACTCTTGATCTTAGGGAAGTGAGTTCAAGCCCTGCGCTGGGCATAGAACTTACTTAATTTAAAAAATGAATAAATAGAAAATAATAACAAGAGAAAAAAATCTGTAATTATATGTGAGGGTACTGTGGTCATTTCACAACATATACAAATATCAAGTTATTATGTTGTATGCCTGGAACAAATACAACATTATTATAGTTTCAAATGTTAACTAATATTATACTAATATAATATGATCTTAACCAATAGAATGTTAACTAGTATACTGTCAATCACATTTCGATTAAAAGAAAAACCAGCACTCTTCTGGTCTTCCCAGTTTCCTATTTTCTTTTTGGTGACCAGTACCCTCATTTCTGGTCAGTGGGTAGGGCACACTCCTTTTCTTGCAAAGGATCAAGGGTTTTCCTTCTCGGTGGTAACAGCTGACTAATAAGTTTGACTCGTTTGGAACTCTTAAGCCAGATTCCTGAGAAGTCTCGGCTGGTCGACTTGAAGGTGTGATTCAGACTCTCTTCTCAGGGGAGTGACCGCACAGCTCAGTCACTTTCCTCCTCCAGAGAACAATGCAAATGAAGGCAGAGGGATTTTTGCCTGGGCAAGGCCAGAAAAAGCTTTGAGGAGGAGGGAGTGAGGCCAGAGGATGTGGGTGTTTTAAAATTGGCTCTCACTTTGCGGGAAGACTCTCTCCCAAGGTGACTTGTACTCAAATGTAGTAATTTCCCCCCGATTTGGGCATTTTGTGTTGTTAGTTGCTATTCTGTGTGGAGGCCCATTCTGATGAACTTTCTTGGGAGAAATTTCTTTTCATGGTCTAATAGTTTTTACGCTCTACTGGGGGGGGGGGGGGGGGGAGTGGCGAGGAGGCCGAGGTGAGCAGGGTGCTAGAGCAGAATGGGTAGTCCTTTGGCAGTTTGGATTTGAGTCCCAGCTCTGTACTTCCTAGCTGTGCAACCTTGGGCCAATTATTTAACTTCTCTCAGTGTCCGCCTCCTGATCTCTAACAGGATGATAATTGTAGGACTCCATGCCCAAGATTTGTCATGAGGATTAAATGACCGCACCTACAAAGTAGTTAGTTCAGTCCTTGGTGCATGTAAGTGTTCAGCACGCACACATTGAGCTATTAATGACTTTTCATTGTTTTGTCATATTAGATCATCTCTCTCCCTTACTCCCAGCATCCAGATCTTTCTCGCAAACAGCAGGCCTATGAAACATCCCTCATTACAGGCTACAATGGATTATATGACCATACCCAGGCCAGTCTCAAACACCTCCAGAAACAGAAAACCCACTGGCTGACTAGGTGTCTCATTTCATTTTCAGAAAGTTCTGGTTTAAGCACATTTCTTCCTTTCGTTGAGTCAAAGTTTGTCTCTCTGGGTACATCATTTGGTTCTTGCTGTGCTCTCCAGAACTATAGGAAATTTAAGTCTGATCTATGTGGAAACGCTTCAAATATTTGAACAGAGTTGGCACATCCTTTCTGAGACATCTCCACCTGGAAAGCTTGAGTTTGAGTCTTTCTTTTTAATTTAAAAAAAAAAATTTTTTTTTTCAACGTTTATTTATTTTTGGGACAGAGAGAGACAGAGCATGAAGGGGGGAGGGGCAGAGAGAGAGGGAGTCACAGAATCGGAAGCAGGCTCCAGGCTCTGAGCCATCAGCCCAGAGCCTGACGCGGGGCTCGAACTCACGGACCGCGAGATCGTGACCTGGCTGAAGTCGGACCCTTAACCGACTGCGCCACCCAGGTGCCCCTTTTTTAATTTTTTTAATGTTTATTTATTTCTGAGACAGAGACAGAGCATGAGTGGGGGAGGGACAGAGAGAGAGGGAGACACAGAATCAGAAGCAGGCTCCAGGCTCTGAGCTGTCAGCACAGAGCCCAACGCTGGGCTCGAACTCACAAACCGTGAGATCGCAACCCGAGCCAGAGTCGGTCGCTCAACCGACTGAGCCACCAGACGCCCCTGGAAAGCTTGAGTCTTTCATGAGGCTGGCAACTCTCGCTGGAACCTGTCTCCCACTTATCCCTTTCTCTCTAGTGGAAGGGGAGTTCAAAGAAACCAGAAGACTCAAGTTCAGTTAGCTGGAACCACGCAGCACGTTTCACATCTTTTGTTATGGAGGTGAGTCCCCGTGTCTATGGCACCAGAACAGCTGGAGGTGACTGATTAATGGGAGCTGGCTTTAGCTCACCAAGTGCACCGCAATGTCCTGTGGCTGGGAGAGCATTTCCTTCACCAGAAGGACCAGAGGTAGCTTTAGTGGAAAGATGACAGGACCCCTCAGAAGTAGAGCTATGGCTCAGCCTCCCCAAGACCAGGCAGCAGGTTGGGCCAGATAACAGCTAGATAATGGCATCAAGAAGTCACAGGAAGGCCAGCACTAATCTCTCACGCCATGTTGTGTGAGCATCTGGAATCCGGGCAAGGGATGCTCCCGTCTTTGAACCTCCCACTTCTTTTTCTGCATACGGCAGTTAGCTGCTTCAGAAGATAATATTCAGTCTCGACTCTGTCACATGGAGTTCAAAGGGGATGGCTAATGTTCACTTTTAATTGCTACCTAATGAGGACTTTAATCCAAATCTCTTGGCCCAGTGACATACTGAACAATCATTACTATCACACGTATTTAAGCCTCAAGTTACTTTGTCCAGCGTTTGGCACTGTCCTTCCCTCTTACGCTAATACCACACTCGCAACCCTTCTGACACCTGGTATGTGGGTTTATTCCCACACCAACCAATTCGTTCACACCAGCCAGGTATCCTATAATCCAATTCACTTCTGACGCTATCTCC